GTTCCATGCTTAGAATAATGAAAGCTAATGATTCTAATGCTTAAATTAGTGATATTACATTGCTAGGCATGAGAATAAAGGATTATTTCCCCCTATAAAGGAATGGATTTAGCTGCAGCTTGCCTCTAGTGATGTCACGTTTAGCTCCACCCATCGACAGGAAGTAAACTGGCAGGAAGGAAAAATGAGCATTTTTGAAGGCTCATATCTCAGTGAATAATTTTTTTCAGACAATGGGAGTTGGAACACATCATTTGTGTGGTCAGGCAATCATATTAAGCCAATTGAAAAATACCTCAAAAAATGCATTGAACTTACCCTTTAAAGGCTGGTTTACAATATTACGCAACTCCTCATGTTACGTTGACGCTAGAATAAAATCTGGTTCTATTCTAGCAGAAGGCATGTGTCACAAGGTCAAATCGATCGCCCACACTTTTGTTTAAGAATTGACTGTACGTTGGCCTATTGTCATATTGTAAACTAGCCTTTGTTCCTGTATAATTTTTGTCATTAAATGTTACTGTGCACAGGATAGCCTTCATTGTTTGATGAGTCTGGGGGAATTTCAATCAGCATTAACATATGTGAAAGGATTACTTGCTGAAAAGTAAATAGCTATTTTAGTTTTTTACTATCTATATGTTTTAGACCTGAATTGTCTCATATCTTTAATTCATACTATATTGAAGCTGCTTGGAAGCTTGGAGACTGGAATAGTTTAGAGCAATCAGTAAAAGAGGTGTGTTCAGGCTGTAAAAGTTTCACTCGTATTTTTCACAAATTTTTGTGTTATAAAATATTAGGAGAAATAGCAAAAAATACTTTATTTTTTTAATTGTTTACTTTTGTATTGTTTCCTAGGCAAGGTCATCTTTGGTTAATTGGGGTTCAGGTCTTGGAAAATTGTTACTGGCTGCAAAAAAGAAGGCTTGTTTCTAATTTTAATGTAACTAATTAATCATTTGTGTAGGATAAAGTTGCGTTTCAAGCACAGTTGCAAGCTGTTCGTAATAGTGTTATGGGACCACTAACAGCTGCTAGCTTAGAATTGGGATCATATCAAAGAGGATATGAGCATATTGTCAGGTATTATAGTTTATCATTGCTGAGTTTAAAACTACACGTGTATCTAGTGTTAACTGCTACATTTTGTTAGTGACAATGATTATTAATTTTTTAGGTTGCATATGCTTCAAGAAGTAGAAGATATGGCCACTCAAGTTATATTTAGTTCCGAGAGTAGGACTGTTGACATTTTAAAGAACTGGAAAAGTAGACTTCTATCTACAGAAGTGAATCATTTTATTAAGTTTTTAATTATGATTTGTTGTTTAGGAGACATTTAGAACTCAAGAACCAATACTTAACCTTCGTAGAACATTACTTAGTTTGGTTGATGAAAAGCAAGAGCTTCTCACATTGTATTTTGAACTTATGTCATAGTTTTTTTATCTCTTGTATATTCTAGGTCTATTAAGCAAGAAACTGGTTGTCTATGGTTGAAAAGTGCTTCTATTGCTAGGCAGTTAGTTTTTTGGTATACTTGTTATGTAAATTGTCTCTTTTAGCTCTAACTGTATGCAAGCTGCTCATAATCTTCTTCTACATGCTGCAGATTATCATCTACCTGAGTATTGTTTAGAGCATGCTGATTTAATCAGTACACAGGTATAAGTGTGTCTACTCTTTTCCTAACATTGTACATAATATATATATAGGGTGACCCACATCAGGCACTTCTTAATCTTCAGAAAACAATGTAACTCCTTAAATTTTAATGCTTGAGTTGTTTTTTTATTTTAGTGAGAGCTGGACAGCTTCTGAAGAAGTTCCACTTGCTACCAAAGCCAAAGTAAAGTAGTATACTAACATACACTTTTAATTATTGCATGGCTTCCAAACCTTCTGTTGAGTTCACCTGCTCATGAAGCTAAATATTTTGAGAGGTGCAATGTAACTTAAAAGTCAAATTATTTCTAGGTGTATTGCATATCATGAAACAATGCACTACCTGGTGTGTCATTATTTATCAAGGGGTGTGTTATTTGGGGTGAAGTAGTATTAAGTAATGTGAAACCTTAGCTTTGTTGTTGAATCTTTATGTCCTTGAATCCTTAACCTTAATGAAACAGAGCCATTCTTCTTGCTAATGAACATAAACTTTATTATGCCTCGACCCTTTGACCTCCTCTCCTGCTTTGACATGCTACCCTCACGCATTTAAGTACTAGCAAAGCCTAACCACAATGTTACATGAAATTATTGTAGTTGTTGTTACCCAGGGTGACTTTTTTGAGGGCTATAGATTTAGCGGATCTATAATTCACTATGTTTAAATTTGCACTTTTATCCTCAATTCAAAATTTTTCTGCCCATTATACACCCCTATATTGTAGACCACACCCTTCTTACCGTAAGCCACACCACAAAACAGACGAAAATACACACCAGTCTAAAATTAACTGCTATACGGTATCTGTTATAATAAAGCTTCCGATTTTGATGTAATGACACCTGGTATAATGCATGCATGGTAGGATACTTGGTCACATGCAATGTTATTGCATAATACCGTGTAGCTTGACATTTTTGTGGTATGTAAATTTCGTGGTTGTGGGGCTTCCCACGAAATTAAACCCACATAATCATTGAAGTGCCATCCCCATACAGGTTATGTAAACTGTCAACCACGAAAATTGAACCACAAATTGCCCCACTAGGAGCAAGCCACGAAAATATAAACCCATGAAAGTTTCGAGCTTTACTGTAGCACATGCTTTTGCTTATGCTCAGTGCATAGCTAACTTACTGTGTCAAAGATGTCTAAAAAAACTATCACTATTACAAAACTAATGAAGGCAATAGATTTGCTGTGTGCAATTCTGGCCAGAAATACTACTGTTTGGTAAAAAGAACTTTGATTATATAAATTAAGTTATTAATTAAAATTTCTTAACCACTTACCTCACAAATCTGTGTTTGGGACTGTAGCCCCTGTAGAATCCTCTTTAGACCAATAGCATAGGTAGGTAATCCCTATGCTGTTACTAAGGGGCATCCCTGCTCACCTGTAATGGCAAGAAGGTGTGCCATTGGGCGTCCAAAACCAGACCCCCAGAAAGGGACACGTGTACCTGATTAAAATCCCAAATTTGCATGTGGGATCAGCCCCACCTAGGGGAGGAGCGAACTGTGCGAGCTCTCAACTCCTTCCCAGCTAATTGCTTAGGGGTAATCCCCACCTCTGGGAGGTACTTGTGTCTCAATCTGAAGGGGTGGTTCCAGTCAGCCACTCATCACACTGAGAAATCACCTCAGTGGAGAAAAAAATTGTTAGTGGTATGAGGCGGGAGGACCCACAAAGAAGCTGGCAATGCAACGTAGAGCCACCCCTTGCAATGGGAGAGCCCTTTATATAACAGTTAACTCCCTGCAAGCCTGCCAAAAGATATTGGCCCAACATACCACACACCATAGGGCCCTTCCTCACACTTACCTTGATGCGACCCTTGAACTCACCCCACCCCCTAAAAACAAGCTGCCTCCATAGGAAGCCTGTCTTGTAATTGCAGGGCCTAGCCCTCAATCCTTTCCCCTGAAATTACATCCTCCCAATCAGCCGATTATAACAACCTCCAATTGTGCCCCTCATTACAGTGGAGGCTTATAGTTTAGGGCTATAGACCCCTTTCGGCGAAAAGTAGCAGCTTGTGAATGTCATTAATTTTGCAATAAATATCATTATATCTCAGTTACGGTATACGCCCACATACAATAATTGGCCGCCATGTTTTGCGTCAAGCAGCAAGTGCTTTCTGTGTCCTGGAGATCTTGGTCACTACATTTTGAAGCTAAAAACTATTCTAGAGTCAAGAAAGATGCCAAGAGAGCCAACCTAGAAGTATAGTGCAATACTTTTGTTGTATGAGCCTGTTTTCCTCTTTGGGCTGTGACAGAGAGTCAAGAACTGATCGTTCTGGCTCTCCCAGACTTCTTAAGTCTTCAAAATATCTTGCTATAGTAAGGAACAGTTGATATGAAGCCTCTCATAGTCCTGAGTTCAGCACAACAAAAGTTTTATTGGCAAAACAGCTCTACTTTGCACATCAGCCATTGGAACTCTGCATAACTTTGACGTAAAACATGGCGGACAAAAATCCGTTCAATATTATTTCTTTGTATATACGGTATCACAAACTAATTCTCGCCTAAAGGGGTCTATATGCATGCTAAAGCACAACACTACATAACAATAGTTATACTGATCACTCCCTCCACTAACATGTATAAGGGTAAATGCATGCCAAGATAATGGAAAATCGGCTGGGAGGCCTGACCAAGAATTAGGACTTACGGCCATGCCCCAAAACCTCCCAAGTTGGGCACTTTGTATGAGTAAGGAGTGTTGGTGTGAGTGTACTGGGTTGACAAGAAGGCACTGGATGTGTCACATATAGTGAATGGGAACACATGGGCAAAAAAAAATGACAAAATAAACATAACAACGACAAAGACAACAGAAAACCTGAAATACACAAATGAGTCCCTAACATCACCGGCCTGACACCATTTTTGGCGCCAATGATACGAGGGTCTCCGGTGAGGTCCGGACGTATGCGAGGTAGACATCTGAGTTCCATCGCTCCATTGCTTTTAGTAGGTGCACTGGAACTCCTGCCTCTGCAGCCACGGTTGCCGCACCTATTCCAAAACTGTGGCCAGAGTATGATGCTTGCCCCACCCCACTATGGAACAGAGCCTTCCTAACCAATTGAACAAGGGTTGATTTAAGTAAGGGGGAGCCGTCTACTCTCACGAACACAGTCCCCTGTCTAGCTGGGCGGACCACCATGTAGTTCTGAAGGGCAACCACTGGACAGATATCTGTTGATGTAGCACCGACGTGGACCTTGGTACCCCTGCCCTTTTGGTCAGTTTTTGAAAAACGTAAGCCAATTACCATCCCCGATCGAGAGCCCACCCTATGGAAAAAGATGTCTAAATCACCCACTGCCGGCACTTCTGTTCCTTTTAACAGGAGGAGTTCCCCTAATCTGAAACAGCCGAAAAACGCAGTACATGCTACTGCCCACAGCAGGCATGCAGTAAATTGGTCCTCCAGCCCCGACTCCCATGCAGCTTTGAGTATTTTCATGATGTCTAGCATAATTGGGAGCCTTCGTCTGGGCGGGGTATCTCTGTTTTCTCTCTCCACCCCTTTAACCACGTAGGATAATTGTGGCCATGACTCACGAGAGACCACCCCCAACCTGGCCTCAATACTCAAGTGCCGAAGGGCTGACAAATAGACCAAGATTGAACCTGGGCGGAGACCTTCCTGATATAAGTGAGTCACGAAATGGCACTCAGTTTGCTCAGTTATTGGGAGTGGGTCGATGCCAGCCCTGACACAGAACTGCACGTACCTCCTCTTTGCTGAGCCATAGGTGCTCTTTGTTCTTCCTTAAAGTCCTGTAACAAAAAGGCATCTAGCCTCTGCATCCAATCCTCTGATGTCCAAGCTGCCTTCCAATCCCACAACAGCTCAAGTAGCTGTGCTGGCACTGTGTGAGGAGCCCGACTGGTCTGGGGGATGAGAGAAAAAATAACTTTGAATTACCCCGAGACAAAGCATCAGCTGCTCCATTAGAGCGGCCGGCAACATGCACTTCTACCAATTGAATTTTATGCAGAGCGGAGAGTAACAACAGAATTTTTAGCAAGTGGGCTAACAGAGGATCCTTTGCTAAACCCACTCGCAGACATGCGACCACTGCGTCATTGTCACACCGGATTAGTACCCTGAGACCAGCCCACTCTTGCCCTCATACAGCTACGCTAACGATGATGGGAAGCAACTCTTTTGCTGCAATGGCGATTGAGTACTAGGACTCCGGCCACTGTACCTGGAACCACTTGCTCACCGGCAGACACACAGCGCCGCAACCCCTATGTCCGGATGCGTTGGAGTACACTGTAGCCAGCCGCCCATGGGCGACCTGGGTAGAATGACCGACCATTCCAGAAACGCAGGAATTCCTGCCACCAATATTGGACCTGCATTCCACATTTAATCGGACCCAGTGATCAGGCTCCTGTGGGATTTTTGAGGCCTCAATGAGCAAACATGTGAATGGTCTTCCAGGCTGAACAATGCATGCTGCATAGTTCAATAGTCCGACCAGGGACTGGAGCTGTTTCTTTGTTACTGACTGTCTCTTGTCATGCTTCCATTCCTGAAGGATGCTCATCAGGCGAGCCTGTTTGTCCTCGGGCAGCCGTAACTCCCACCGACATGAATCAATTTCAATTCCAAGAAATGTGATGGTTGTGCAAGTGCTCACCACTTTATGAGGGGCTGCTGGCAAGCCCAGGTGCTGGCAGACATTCACTGCAGTCTTCAATGCCTGCTCGCACTCGCTGGACTCCGCCCTGGAGCAGAAGAAAAAATCGTCAAGGTAGTGGATCAAGTTGTGGACCTGCAACACTCCATGGCCCATGAAAGGCCATCTGCCACTGCCGTGAACAACAGAGGCGCTGACCGTAGGCCAAATGGGAGGGCTCAGTCGCAGAATGTTACGCCCCTCCAGTGGATACCCAGCAGTGCCTGGTCTGCTGGATGAACGGGTACTTTCCTGTAGGCCGACTGAATATCAAGTTTAGCCATCCAGGCACTCTGACCTGCCTCGATTGCCACCGCCTCGTCGACTGATGTGTATGACAGGTGGCAAGGGCAGGGGAAATGCCATCGTTTACACTGCTACCATCTGGAGCAGACAAATTTACGATTAGGCGGTATTTCCCCAGCTGGCTTGTTTTTGGTATTATGGCAATTGGGCTGACATGCACGAC